GACGCACTTAGTTCCTGTCAACCAATCAGCGATAGACCAGAGCTTGGTTTAGTGTCAAAGGTCAGCTGGCATGGGCCGTGTGACCTTCAGTTCGGTTTATCCACGTAAATCAGTCGAAAAATGTTTGGCTGGAAAATAACGCTAACTCAAAGTTAGTTACTTATTTGGGTATTTACTGGCCGTCAAAGTTCCAGCTCTCCAAGGAAGCGCTGTGCTTTACTCACAAGACACCCACATGAATGGGCACGAAAGGACACAAAATTCACACTTTACCTCATTTTAAAAACCTGGCTCGAGGCCTTAAAAAATGGTTTTCAAAAACTGTGTTTGCTGCAGAAGATGACCGAGATCAGGATGGGTTTGATGCGAGGAATGAAACGGGTCGAATCGTGACATTTAGGAAAACGCGATGCGATCAGTTCGACAAACAAATGTGGGATTTGTTCATCATAGATTTAACTCGGTGTAAAGCATGTAACTTTAATAAAATTTAAGGTGAAAAGTTGGCAAATTATCAAAAAACATTAAAACGAATAAAGGCTTGAATTAGATTCAAAAGAAATCTTCAACAAACTCACGAAAAGCGTCGCTGTCGAGGACGCTGATATCAAGGGGCTGGGTGAGGGGTGCGGAGGAGGATATTGCAATGGAGCCGACGCCATTATTATTGGCAGCGGTGGCAGCAGCAGCAGAGCCCAGCACGGAAGAAGCGCACGAAGACTGTGGTTGGTGGTAGGCAAGAGGGTCAGCCGTGGACGCACTGAAGTACCCACCACCACCACCATCACTGCTGCAGCTACTGCCAACAGACCTTACGGAGTGGTTTTTGTAGCCCATCGTCGTCGGCATCTAGAGGAGAGGAAGTCGATTCGATGACCCAAAAGTCGATCAAACTATCGTTGGGAGAAGAGACTTGGACTTTCAGACTTGCAATTTCTGTGGAACCTACTCTACTTTAATTAGTCAGTTCCAAGGATCTCTCCTCATTCCTCGAGGTCGTGAATGTAGCAGACGTCTGTCAGGCTGGTAGCTCCATCATTTTCAAACCCATAGACGATGATGTACCCTTACGCCTGAACCAAACACAAATGCCAGTGGAAGCGAATTTGCGTCCTTGTACTAAACTTCAAAGGGAGTGGACTTGAAGGACAAGCATTCACGCGACGTGCTGAAAGACAATGACTGCTCATTCTCCCGTTTCCACTTTGGTTTTGTGAAAATGCACCAATGATCGTTGTGGGTTCAAGGTTATCCAGTATAATAATAAATAAATACATGGTATGCACACGCTATATCCCCAGCCTACTGTTTTGTCGGCAATGAGAAATCCTATCTTGGCGTCTTCATTCCTATGACTGCTTCCAATAGGAGCTCTAGAGGGTCTGAACACCTGCTTCCATAGTGTTCCATAGCACCATCGTTAGCAACTACGAGGTCTGTTATACAAAAAGTTGACTTTAAAGGGTACGGGTTGCAGTGATGGATGGATGGACGGATGAATGCATAAGTGTCTGGACATAGAATGCACAGTATGTTGGTCGCCAGTTCTGTTTACAGGCTCCCATCTGGCGGACAAGTCTAATCAAACTCTTGCCATACAACTAAGCTGACCGTATGCTACATGGGAGATGGACCTGAGATGAGGTCAAGGCGGCGGCAGACAGTGTGGGTGAGTTAAAAGCAGCTGTGTGATGGAAAGAAGGGAGCGTCGGAGCGTGGTGAACAAGTAATGGGATTTCACACCTTGGCGATAAAGTTGGGTAGCCGAATTGAACGAGCTTCCGAGTTCGCTTCTCATTAATGCATCCTCATGTTGTCATGATTAGATACTGCGCAGACCGAATCAAAATTTCTACGCCAAAAGTATAATGACATCTCTCTGATTTAATCAATGTCCAATCAAATGCACGCCAATCCCTATCAGTTTAGCCTGAAAGATTCTATTTCAATGCAGAAGTTTGCTCTTGCAGATTTAGAAATCACAAATCCGCGCAGATAGTTAAAAACACTACAAGATATGCAAGTTTACCTCTCAGCTCCATGCTACTTAAATGAATCCGCCATCCTCTGAACGTTAATTGCTTAACATGGGGAACATATGGCCCGAGAACATCTGGCAAAACCCAGAAAACTAAGGTCCTTCTCGTGGTAACGCGATTTCATCACTGCATTGCCTCATGTTCGTTCCTGCCTTCTGCCAGCTACCGATGTTTCTGATGCTAAGATCGCTGTGCAGAAGCTTATAGTAGCTATAAGTGTGCCAGAGACGGAGGACTTCAATTTACCATCCTTCTGTCTTAGACCTTCCGTTATGGTAGACCTATTTATAGCCTTACATGAAACTAGAATCATTGGGCTTCTAGGCACTATAAAAATAACCATCAACATGCAAGCACACATCCAGCTGAGGCTGTCAATGAAGACAAACAAACACAGCGCAGATAGGCTCGCACTGACCAATCAATCCTTAGTAAACGCATTGACCTTGAGGCCTAGACTATTGATTGGTCGCCTAATGAGGGTAATTTTCCGTTCAATATCGCAGCTGTCGTTCCATTTCAAGACATGCGACTAAATTTAAAAATCAGAGAGTGAGGAAAAAACGTGCTTAAGGAGAGACGAAACACTCACCTGTGATACATGGGGTAGTAGTTGTAACGGTGGCGGCTTCGCCCGGTATTCACTGTAGACGTCGGACCTGCAAAGTGTAAACGGGAGATGGAAGGCATTGAAAAAGTTGCAATGTTGCCTCAGTGCAAGCACATTCGGAACTTGAAAATCGCATTGTAAATAATGAGTCTGGTTAGTCAAAATCAAAAGATGTGATGTTCAAATTTCAGTCCTTCGTACGAAACAAGAATTTAAAACAGCTACACGATCAGTTGGTTCTAGAGGCAGCTCAGTCTTTCAAAGAGGCGTAAACTCCACCCACTTTCACGACACCCACATTTCAACGATAAAGGTGATCACAGGGACAACAAATCTGCAAATATGGGAAGGAAAAAAGTAATTTAGGGACAAAAAGGATAATTGATGCAATGATAGTTGAGTGGTTGAAACGGGAGACCCAGGGAGATCAAGGGTGCAGAGAGGAAGGATGGATGGATGAATGGACTGCAGAGCTGTGGATGACTACGCTACAGCTACTTTTAAGCATGAACTGACGCCTCCGACAGACGAGCAGTCACCTTAGGGGTGTATACTCCCATTTATACTCATCACCTTCAAAGCCGACCAGGCACCTCTTAATTTGCGCTCTTGTTATGCTACTGAGCGTCGTGTTGTGTCTAGTCAGGCTTATGATAATGGAGATGGGGGCGGCGGTGAGTCACGTGTCTGCGCGTCCGATTAAAGCGGCTGGACATCACTAGGACGGTGGTGGCGCGCAGTCTGGGTCGTGGATTGTCAGAGTTTCCAGGTCTGGGGGCAACGACAAATCCCCTAAAAGAGGTCTGGAGTATTTCAGCCTGAACGTGAAGTCTTCATCAAAAAGCGTCGACAAACATCGCTAAAAAAAAATTAGATTAACAAAATTGCGCTCTAACAGGTGAAATCCACCGAAACGTGAATCAGCCCCGATGATCCCCTCCAGGATGAAAAGTACTTTTCTGGATGCGTGGGAGCCACCCAGACCCTATACCGATTCGTCGACGTAATTTGGCGCCCGTCTACAGAGACTGTATTTCACTTGCATCGATTAAATGTCACGTCCACACTGTGAGACATTAGCAAGAACTAGGAGGCACCCAGCTCCAATACTGACTCATGGATCACTAGAACCCATCTAGAGGTGTTCGCGGTACCCAAATCCGATCTAATACTCACGCTTTTACTTCCAATAGTGGAACTCCGTTGAATTCAATCTCACCTTAGAGTTCTGGAGGTGAAACAATAGTCAAGCTTCATTGCAATGTCTGAAATGGATCTAGAAGTCCACAACTCCCTCCTCCCAAGATCCGAAACATAAGTCGAACTTTCAAGTTTTCAGGGTTATTGCAAACCATCCAAATCCAGCAGCCAATCATGGACGCAACTCAACACCTAAATCTGGAAATGTTCAAAGCTTGATTACCACTCCCACGACGATTTTAACATCCATTGGCATCCTCAAAAGAGGCCTGAAAACTATCCCAAAATAAAAGTACAATTTTGAAAGTGCAAAGATAGTATTCAAACCTCATTTCAACTCTTTAACTTGATGATGAAATCAGTGAATCCCGAAATTCCATGTCTGGCCCTGGCCAAAAGTTTTTTATGTATTCGAAGCTGACATTCTGATGTTCTAGTATCCCAGCGCCCCCCAGACAGAATATTTGGACTTATAGTTGTAAATCAACATCTAGAATACGTCAAACGGCTAGTAGTGGTCCTAAATCACTTTCAAGACACTCAACTCCCTGAAGCTATACACCTACCATCAACAAAAAACGTCTCCAACGCGACTAAAGCGTTTCAAAATGTGATAATTCCAAATCCAACACACCTTTTCAACCTCAACGCAGATGAGGATGATGGCAGATCATAGGCTGATATCGAACCACCGCCATTACCACCATTCGTATTCCACGTCTGATAGGGATGAGCTATGGGCCCGGAAGCATACCCCTCTCCACCTCCAGCAGTTTGCACCAGCAAGGGCTGCACAGGCGTTGCCGCCTGTTGAGGATTATGATGGTGATGATGCACCGGTGCGTAGCGCTGTGGAATATTCCGCATGCTATGGTAGTCCGACTGCAGTCGTCGAAACGGCTGCTGAGAGACCGTGGTGGATGATTGATGACGACAGCGGGAGGAGAGGAGACCTCCATTAAAGCAGGAGGTGTGGGGTCTGTTTGAGGCGGTATTGCTGTTTGTGTTTTGGTAGCGAGGGAGGGCGAGTTCGTCCACTGGTGGAAGGGTTCGCTGTTGCTGCCTTTGTTGCTGCCGCTGTAGTGGTAGCGGAAGTAACGGTGGAGGTGGTGGTTGTTGATGCTGCTGACGGTTGTATTGTTGGTGTGGTGGAAAGCATCGGGAATGATCGGAGACATCGGGAAAACTGTTGGGGATGCAGGAATCCGAGTAGGTCCTCAAGAAAATGGGAAGTGGGAGTTAAGTTCACAAATTGTAATTAAGTCTTACGGCTTTTCTGGACACTAGTAGTAAAACTACTTCGGATTTTGCTGGCAAGACTCTATACCAGAACATCACAGAAGACACTAGTTGTAGATGATCAAATCTGTTCAATGAATCGTAATGGAAGGTTTGTCAGAATCGTATTGCCCTTTAGCAGATACCTTTTACAGTGGTAACTCATAAAATCTGCTTAAACCTTCCTAACTCATGGAAAATATGAACGCTTTCGCTGGAACAACTACATTACCTGTTCGACAATTGTAGGCCCTGAACAATGACTGCGGAAGGGATGAAACATACCTCGGAAGAAAGATTTGATAATACCCTACGTTCTAGAGGATCTACGAATAGTCCAAGGGGATGACCAAATCTTTGAAAACGGTTCCACTAACCTTCTAGCTATCCCAGAACCTCCTAACAGAATTTCGACACCCCACTACTCACCTTCGGTATTCCACCAAACTCATTTCGCCAATCATCGACGCTGCCGTGGAAGCACTATTTAAAGCATTCCCCACCGGTCCATTACCACAATCCTGATTTCCAGGATGACCCCAAGCCGACTGACAGGTGTATTCTCGCAACGGTTGCTGAGAGGCTGCCCCTGCTAGACCTAGCGATGGTGGAGGTGGTGGGAGCAGTGGTGGTTGTTGGAACTGCAGGTGGTGTTGACGGCTCGGAGAGGTGTTCGAGCTAGTGTAGAATTGCGAAGAGTGAGGGGAGACGGAAATTGGCACCAGATTTGGTTGGTAAGCGGAGGGGAAGGGTGAAGTTTGCGAAGCATGAAGAGGGGAGATGTGGGAGAGGAGACTAAAAGGTAGGTGAGAAGTCGTCTAAAGATCTAGGTAGGATGAATTCAAGAATAATGGATGAATCTGAGATAGATAAATGCATGAGTGGATAAGTATGAAACGTAGGGATCAATTTTGGATGAAAGGATAGCTGAATCCCTCACCCAGGCTTCCCTGACTCTGCAGACGTCTGAAGCAGACCCGCCGTCGCCATCTTCGCCTCCACCCCGCGTGACTGAGACTGCGGTGGAGGCGGCAGCCGCTGCTGTGACTGCGATTCCACTCCGTCCATCCGAGGGGTTTGACTCACACCGCCACCACCACCGCCGCCTCCACCCCTACCGTTGTTGTATAGACCGCGGTTTGACTGCAAGGGGGAAAGGAGAAGACAAAATAGAAAGTACTTAGACTTGGAAAGAGGTATAAGGGTAGGCATGCCGGCAAACAGACATGAGGTAGAATTTATTTATACGTGTTGCCATTGTAACAGACAAGCACGCATCATAAACATGTAAAGCACACAGACCAGTCACGTGATCACTACTAAGTACGTAGTGTCGTATTGTGTAAGAATACGGTTTCTACTGTTGAAATGGGTGGATGAATTTGTAATGGACGAGTGAGTGTACAAATCCAAGATGGGTAGATGAATGAGACTCATGGACCCAAAATAGATGAATGAATGAAAAGACGGAGTTTAGATAGACACTAGGTAGTAGAGCTAACTTGCATACAAGCTAAAAACGCATAGAGTAGCTCTTCACTCTCAAGGTCTGAAAAAGAAGTTTCAGTCGATTTATAAGAAGAAGCTTTCTTATTTCATGAAGAGATACAGTAAAAAACATTTGTATTCGGAAATTGAGACCAGTAAGACGTCTGACTTTAGAATATTACACGTTAAAATACCCCAATGGCAGCAGAGATGGAACAAGGAATGATAAATGAAACAGATATGGACCGACTAATAGGTGGTCAGATCAATGAATGGATGCGGGATAGATAGAGCTAGAGGTGTTTTCAGTTCCACACTATTTCTCATCCTCGTGTCAATTGTGGTCTCCCACATGGCAAGCCGGTTTGGTGGCACCAATAGCACCAAAAAATCACACAAACAAACTCGAGCCAAATGACTGCCGGTAGGAGTGTCGAGTACTGTGTGCTGCATGGGATCTAGTAAACGTCACATCATACTACACACTTCTACGAAGTTCTAGTCCATTGCTTCATCGTACACAGTTAAACTCGATGAACTTGTTATTTAGACGATAAGTTAAAGGATTTCTCCAGAAAAAAATGTCAAAATTTGACGAGTTGAGGTCTCTCGTGAACATTGCCGGAAGCGAAGCAACACAGGTGGAATCCCAACGGATTCGTGTGACAAGAAATTTGGGTGTCTACATGTAAGAGGTGCTCTAGCGCAGCAAAAGCACTCGTTGTAGTGGCTCTGAAACCCAGCTGAGCCAACTGAAAAGCTGGCTACATTAATTGCGATTTCTGGGAATTGCACGCATCCGTCCCCAAATAGAGGTTTTAAAGGAGGTAGCAGGTAGATTTTGGAATAGATTTCACACTTTGACAAATAAGCATTATCAGAAGACGTTCTTAAGCCAAATATTCACAGATGAAATCATCAAATTAAGGCATTTTACATTCCTTCTTAAGGAAGATCACATGAAATGGGTCGCCAAGCAAAAGCCAGTCCTCATTTTACTTCACAAATGTCTGCCTGTTGTCACCAACAAGATCTGCTCAATAAGTGTTAGGTGTAGGCGTTTTACCAACACGAGACGCAATAGTGACCATCAAGCTGATAAACTATGGAAAAAGCACGATGTACTTTCTTCCTCACAAGGCACAAGTTGAGACAGACGCACCAAAGCAAAGAATTCTGGAAAACGCTGGTCCACAGCATTTGCAAACAAATACATAAAATTCCCAAAATAATCTAGTGACTCTACTTCAATCAACTGGATCGTCTCCTTATCATCCAATACGTGCAAAGTTTAGTGATTTCCGAAAAAGGCTTGACAACTTTTGATTAGCTCAAGGCTCCAATCTTGTCACCCATGTTTGAATTAATGGTTGAAGTGCGGAAAAGCAGCTTACTTTGATGACGCCTCAAAGTCCAGTGGTACCAGAAAAACATCGCAGAGTAAGAAAAAACGACTAGAGATTTACAAAATCTCAGCTCCGATCCCGCCTCCCGAAAATAAACAGTTTTTTAGCTATTAATGAGACTAATGTGCAATCGGTCTGAGTACTAGACAAAATTTAGGCGATTAAGGGTAACCATAGTGCCCAAAAAAACAACATGGGTGGCCGCATCGAAGGTACTAGCAGTTACTCAAAAAGTGAACCAAACATTGAACTAAAGGTCCTTCTTTTTTCCAAAACTCCTTACTTTTCTTTCCCACACTTAACCTGGAACCCAAGAATGGATAATTGCGTCCAAAGGCGACAAAATCCTTGCCCCAATTTTTTTCGGAAGTCATAGAGTAGCAAGAGGCGTTCTTTATCAAAAATCCACCGAAAAAGCCACCAAAGCTGAATTTCACCCTGATCCCGAGCAAAATATTGATGTATCTGCCTCAGTTGGCGTCTTTCCCATATGAGTTTGAGGACAATCAGTGGTCGTTATGAGCTCCAAGACGATCTGCAGAAAGCGGAAATCAGGCTTCGACAAAATTTATTTGCCTATTTTTTTTCCCTCTAAATGGAGGCATGGACCCCAAGTTACCTTCAAGTGAAATAACAGATGAGAGGAACAGTAGATTGTCAGGATCTAGATTAAAGACCCATGGGCTTAAAGATCTAGGCGTAGCGCTTTTAAAAACCAAACCACAGGGGATGACGTTAACACCCGAAGCAAATCCCCAATTAAAACACCGGAAGCAATAAACAATTGTTTTTCTGGACTCGAAATCCAACTAGACAGAAAGTAGAGGCTAGCTTTCATAAAACCCTGTCTTGATTGTGTTTCGCCCAATCAGAAGGTCTCGATGCATCAACGAGGAAAAAACTTCATTTAAAAAAAAATAAGCGAAAGCATTTCATCAAAAAGTTCACTAACAAATGAATAACGGGAGAGCATTTGTACCAAACTTTCGCGAAAAATAAAGCCAGTTATTTCACTCGAGGACCGGTGATTATGAAGATGCCGAGGTTCTAGTTTTATCCCCTTCTCAAGTTAAACTACGGAGATTGCTGTCAATCGTTGACGAAATTTCACCCCAGTTTGAACTGTGAATAGCATATCCTGAATTTTGGAAAAAATGCCTTTGCGTAGCCTCCCATACCCTTCATTAACGTCATGAGCCAATGAATTTGTCCTGTGACCACATTTCATCTGATCCCACCTAGCCCAAACTATTCCAATTCTCGATTCGCTCCTTCAGTTTTGTAGGTAAAGAGAAATGTAAGTCAGTCTGGCCTTCTCTAAATCACTTAAGCCCCCATGGGACATACCTCCTTCCCTAGAATCGAAATACAAAACTAATGAAGCTATCTTCGAAATATTTGGCACCAAATCACTAAGAGTGGAATATTTGACTCCAGTCACCCCATTTCCAGCGTCATATTATAAACCGTGATCTCAAAGCTCTAATTTTATGCCTGCACAGCAGCCATTTGATGGAATTCACGGATAAACCCATCAAAAAGGAGCACTCTACCCAAGTCCCAAGAAAAGGTGATACTACAACCATATTATCGCCCTACCTTAGTAAACCCAAAGCTACCTAGAAGCCGACCAAAAGATAGAACAAACAACTTCGCCTCAATAATCCTACCTACTTTTCTCTTAATAAATCAGAAGCACAACAAGGAGGTCAGCACTAGGTAAGATCGAATCCAAATCTGACCAGCACCATCAATAATCGTGGAAGATACGAATTCGACGTTCAATCTCGCTCCGCCTGAAGCGACCAAATTCAAGGTGTCGCATGCAGCTGTCGCCGTGTGTGCATGTGAGCAAAGGAGAAAATCAGAAGACCACTCCTCGCATTTACCCACCACCAACAACACCAGAGAAAAAGAATGGAACGCTGCCGTTACACAAGAGAAGGAAGGGAGGCAGATGAATTACTCAGCATGCGATGTGCAGAACGCGTAATGTTTTCGCTAAATCAGTAGCTCCATGCACAAACGCCGCGGCAGGCAGGTAGGCGAGCTACCCAGCTATCTAGCAATATCACATGAGATATTTTATGTTTGTGTGCGCTTGTGCAGAGCGAGAAACAGACAGGCGTAGCGCGTAGCACAGAAAACGCGCAAGACTTTATGCGACTGGCTGGCTGTCTGATAATCTGTCTACTCGCCCGTCTGTCTGTCCGCCTATTAGGCGCTAATATGCGCGAACGCAGGGCAACAGTGCCGTGGAACGGATAAAGGCGAGGGAGCAAAACGGGCAGACAGGGATTAATGGTGGATGAGTGGGGTAGACGTAACTAGCAAACCAATCGATAGCGTCAGATGGTAATAAAAACAATGTTAATGAAGATCAAGGGGACACAAGCCTAATACCACCAGAATTGATCATAAAACGATCCTTAGCATAGGGCAATTTCAAAAAGGGGTAAAACCACAGGGGTGACTTCCAAGACTAGGCGGAAGCGTTCAGGGCTAAAACGGCTAGAGGTGGTGTCGAACGTACTTTGTGGTATTTTAACAAATGGATCACCCAGAGGAAAGTAGGACATCTTTTCAGAAAGACACAACAAGTATCCAACACAGAAAACTCCAATCTGTGATGATTCATTCTGGCCAAAACATTATGAGGGATCGGATAAAATCAGTTCTATAAAATACTTTTCTTGGGAAAAAAAATGACGGGAGGTGACAACTGACAAGCTTCGGCTAGAAACTGACGAAAATCTCCAGAGATTCCAGGTAACTAATGACAAAATATCAGCTATCATATGCACTGAACATTCCTTACTGTGCCTGTACTCGTCTCGAGGGTATATTGATAGTTGCCAGAATTATCCCTCCTACGAGTATATCCGGAGGATTTAGTGGAATCCAATGGTGGCCTTAGGGTTGGCGAATAACTATCAGGCTGCAGTAGTTCTTTGTTGGGTAAATCTGGATAGGGCACCACGTTCTAAAAAAGTTAATTTAAGAGAGCGAACACACCCGCGTGAGTGTGGGGATTCCTCGCATAACTTCCATAAAGTTCGCAGTTAATTGAGCCTCCTTTTGACGAAGGAGTTCTATTTTTTCCTTAAATTTGCGAGGATTTGTGTTATTATGTGGTTTCCCGGTCATCTCGCAAACCGTGGAAAATGGATATTTAAGTGGCGCGCAGCAGTGAATCAATCTGCAGCAAGTTCAATTTTGACCTTGATGTGAAATTTCTCTAAAAACTAGAAAGTGCTTCCTTATATGCTCTTATCTGTTTTGCATTTGCTTTAAAACAATATTTTCAATATCTAAAGCAATATCTTATTAATTAACTACTGCGATTTTTGGTTATAGGGTTGCTTCTGCTTTTAAAATTCGTGAGAAAGAAATGGAGTTTTGTATTGATGCTACTATTCAATTTGGTTTCTTTCGTAATTCTCAGCGCTTGACCTCGTTTGGTACTGCAACTTAAGTTAGGATTGTTGAGGCTGATATCTGTTGAATGCCAGCGTCTATTCATCCAGCCATTCCGTGCCCGTCTATCCACCTAGCCATTCCGTATCCATCCACCGAATGTTAGCTCTTGTGCGTGTTATCCTTGATCTTCTGGAGCAGTTGAGAATGTCTCTGTCACTAGGAATTTTTTCAAAGGGAGACCCTTTACTAAAAACCGTAAATAGTTAAACCGTCTACCATCTGAAGCTCTCATTGGATGTGGTTTATAGGGTGCTGGGCCTCTGGCTTAATGTTGGTGTATTATATATCATAGTTTGTCCATCTGAGCCCATAAAGCTCCGCCCCGACCTCATCTCCCTCTAGAACAGCAATTTGCTAGGTACTAAGGTCAGCCGAGGCCTTGCTGCACTACCAGTTATGTGGCGCAGGACTTGTAAAAGGATTGACAATTAGAAGTCGACATGGCTACAGAAGCTGTTTACAAAATCAGCTAGCAACGGCTGACTTCATTTTTTGGTAGGAATCAGTTTTTTGGAGGTGCCATTCAATGTGGTCATCTTTTTGTCAAGATAGTAGAAGGTGTGGGCTAGATTCCACCACACTTAGCATGGCTCTAAAGAAATTACGAGACATTACAGCTAGCCTGCGGAATTTGGTCTTCTGGCCATACTTATGTCGTCCCAGCCCTTCGTATTACGGATTGAGGGGGGACTGGAGGCGCAACGGCCTAGCAGTTCTAAAGGCAGCCTCATTGTAGCCGCCCAGAGAAGACCTTTAAGTCTACTCGTTGATTTTTACGCCACAGAAGTATTGCCATTATGCGGTCAAAATGAGCCCAACTCTTCTGGATTGAACTTCGTCTGATAAATCTCCCCAATTCTACTATCATAGTAACGATTTCGCAAAGGGCAAGAATTTTCAACTTTCAAAAAACGTCACCGGAACTCGTTAATTTCCACGTCAGAAGTGCTAATCGGTCTTGTCAGCAAAGTCCTAGTAAATTTGCTGGGATTTTTTGAATGCTTGCCTCCTTTCAACGCAAATGCATTCAGATCAGCCTCACTGGCAGCTTCGCAGGTAAATGGCATAAGTTGTCCGTCAGTTCACTGCAACCGTTTGCACCAACTGATCTTGTAGGCGGGGTGGATGGACCTTCACCAATGTGTAAAGTGCACAGTATGATGCCCTCGATCCGGAAATTGGGTCAAAAGAAGTCACTACAAATGAATTTACGTTGACCCAAGGCAAATCGAATCAGTGGAGATCAAAATCATCTGCGTTGTCGTGGCAGAGGACAAATTTCTAACAAAAGCGCTTTCATTGGCAGTTTCTCGTGAAGGCATGGTCAAAATCGGGTGCAAAGTGGGCCGCTGTTGTGACACAAATAATCAGCGCGTCACAAATGGAGCCCTTTTGAAAACTACGCAAGAGTCAACTCATGAATCAGCGTTTGTTAAATATTCCACTGCGCCAACAAAGGCGTGGCGTGACTAAAAGCGTGCTTTTGACTACAGTTGGACCACATTGATTCGCTTCCATGATCATGAATGACAAATAGTGGTTAATTTGCCATAAAATTCTACTTTTAAACAACAGCCGCCTATGTAGTTCTACTATTAGTGGCAAACAGACACAAAAAGCTCCAAACACACGAAGTGCACTTTTAGAAAGTTACTTCGGCTACTTTTTGGGGACAGTGTACGATATACTACTAAATCTACATAAGTATGCTGCTGCTGCAATTCCTTTAGTCTGTGTGAGTTACTGGCGTTTGGCACCGCCTGATCACTAGTTGAATCGTATCCACCAACGTGGCTGGTGAATTGTGCAAGAATATCCCATCATGCAACAAATGATTTGGGCTGAGTGCTCGCAGTAACTTATGAGGCGGAGAGTACTGCCATTTGAGCGGTTTGGGGGCTTCTTTGCTCAAGAGGAAGGTGGTTGTAATTGGCAACTCAGCGAGACGAAGAAAGGCAGTTGGAGTTGCTAATGCAATGGTGCTTTATGGAACAAATGGCGCTTTAAAGTGAACTCACTTTATGGCCTTATTAACGATGTCAATTCGCTACTTTAATCCATAAGGTCGTAAGAGTAACATCTTTGAAAAGACATCTTGTAAACTTGTTGGAGCAAGCTATCATACCTAAGCCTTCTAAACATTTCTTAGTAAAGGCGAGGGGCCTTAAATAGCTAAAAGTTATTTTATTCTTTGGGTCGAGTCTATGAAACTGCTTAAGGATGGAGCAACCAAATGACGAGACAACTTGATGAGAAGTGCTATCCAATTTACTTAAAAGGGGGAATAATTCTTTATGAATGAGGAGCATTTTTAGGATGAGAAATTTTAAAGAGGTTCATTAATCATCCGTGTTTGTCTAACAGGAATCTACTAGCATAATGACTCACTATGGAATACCACCCAATCAACAGCTTAGCACCTTCTAATGGGATCTTGATCTCCAAAATTCATGAGAGATTTTTAAAAAATACGTCCTTGAGATCTCGCAGGGATGCAGGTGCATTGTCTGATTGACATCCTTTTTCATGGCTCGTGAATGGGAGGGAGGTTTTAATGCATCTTCTGTGCGTGGGAATGTTCAAAGAGCAATCCAACCTCGACGGAGGCAGACATTCGGTCCATCGCATTACTACCTCCGCACCTGTTGGGTGCGTAGCTCCAATATCATTCTTCTAAGCGTTTACTTCCTGTGGATTTCCATAATTAGGGCAACTATGGTATGTTTTTTTCCCCGCGAATCCGAGCATGTGGCATGAGAATGAGGAAGTAAATTTATAAATGACTGCAGGCATTAAGACAGCTTCAAACCATGGCATGTGGACCACACAAGGTGACTAGTGCCAAATACACACATTGTCTCATGCTACCTCAAGGTCATTCTGCCCTTTAGCATATCATATGAGAAGGAAACTGTTGTCATGACCATTCATAAATTAATTTGCCATTCAAAATACACCAATTACTCGGTAAAAATGTGATGAAGCCTACGAAGAAAAGTTTTTTACCAGTAGGGAGTTTATTATCGTTCTTATAGCCATAAACCAGTCAGCCCTGGGAGTACTTTCGGCACACCTGTGTTTTTAACCATCTCAAAGACTCCCTTTTAATCCCTGGTGGTATTTAAATTAAAAGGAGCAGGTAGACGGCGGTTTTTGATCATCCCACTCCTGGGTTGTGTAGACTATGCGAGACAGAGGAGAGCCCTGCTAAAACCCATGTTGAATGGACTTTTGGATTCTTATTGTACCCCATTTTAGCGCTTCTGGTTGAAAGAAATGCTTTTTTTCCAAATTAGTAGGTAGTGACAGGGAAGCCGTAGTAACGTAAAACACTATCCACAAAAAAGACTTAGTGCTGACCATGTCCGGCTACGATGACTCTCAGGTTCCTGGAACAAATAAAGTGAAGAGCCATAATGTGGTCCTCATCAAACTCCCCACTTTGTTTTAACTATAAGACCAAAAAGAAACAGTAAAACATGAGGTTTACATTATCTTACATTATATTTCTTTAAAGGTTCATCTATATTATAGCACTTTAGCAAACTGTTGTTGAGTGGCGCCGTCCCTTCTCCTGGAAAAAAGACGTTTAGGCTGTACTACCACTTCCTTTCCACTTTTTGTCATCTATTTTGAAGTCTTACTCCCATAATCACCGTAAATGCTTTTCCCGCTCTCGTAGGGTGTTTGATAACACTTGGAGTTAAAGTGAACATTGATCACTAGAGGAACAGGAGGTGTTTAAATGAAAAATCAGTCACCCTTAGAACATAGATACAAAAAATCTTGCTGTGCAGACAAAGGCATTCAGATAGACACTAAGGGTGGAAGAAAAGTCTGCAAAGTGTCCAATTTTTCATTCGCTTCCAAAGAGTATAGTTAATGGATTAAGCTTTTGCGAAAAAGACCAGCCTATCTTTGACCAGTGCTTATCATGATGTCTTTCCCAAAGTTAATTATGTGCTGCATTTGCAAATGATGAAAAAATCCTACCTGCATGAGAACACCCAGCAATTGATCTTTTATCGATTAAATCCAACATCGATACAGGCTATTGGGCAAATTTCCGGCACGAGTCATCTTTAAGCGACGAGGCGCTTAGCTTCGGTTGGTGATGTGCATCCGCTCAATTAGACATTCCCCATTCTGGGATAGTTTGGCAGCAAATACCATAATTTTCTAAAAAGTGGTTTTTTGGCTAATTACACATCCAAATTTTTTCACCTTCTATTTTTCGATTTGATTCGATTCCCTTTGCATTGATGACTGGGAGCGCTGCTACCCACCTCTTGCGTTATCTCCTGGATCGCACGCCTTAACTGCGTTGGAAGTAAACCAAATAAATTAGAAGGCGACTTTTTAATACGTGTTAGAGGCACCTCCTATGAATGATTGATGCTGTAGAGGCCCATAGTAGAGGGGCTCATTGAAATCATGTCAAATTTAAGCAAATTTTATATCCTGTCCAAAACTGCTGACAGCATCGGCAGAAAAGTGGTGAATAGTTGACCCCCAGACCTTCCCAACATGCCTTATAACGTGACTAAACCTAGATCTGTAGGCAATAAAACGGTCTTAGGTAGTGGATAGAGAAATGGAAAGTTAGTTTTCCACCATTGAAGCTACTAGATGAAGTTGCTTAGCTGCCAAAAGGGAGTCATTGGTATTGATCTGCCCCACGTTCTCGTAAGCTTACCTTGTAAGTGCAGTGAAGTGACAAAAGGATGCTTTAAAGTACGGAGTGAGGCTTCTACATGGGAAATGCTCAAAAAACTTGTTGCAAGTTTTATTGCTTTTTCGTACGAGGTGTGCGCAATCGTAGATCGTCGGTGGGTTGCGAGTGAAAATTGAGCGAGTGTAGTGTAAAATCCCTTATTGTGATAGAAGTGTACGAATTCAAGGTAAAATTCATGGGTCATGGATGGATGGATGGATGGACGGACGGACGGACGATCGATCATGACTCAGACCTGAATTTCCTAATACACAATTATCGAAATAGGGGAGAGAACCAATGGATACATACAGCTTTCCTTTTGAATGGGACACAATGCAGCACACCTGATCCCATACACATTTCGGAAGGACGCCGTCTCTAACGTCACCTTCCTTCTCTGGTTTTTGTTCAAATTTCATTCACAGGTAGCGCTACCACCTCCCTGCGTCAAATCGACCAACACATAATTGTTAACCTTGAGGCGATTTCTATTCCAATCGTCTTCTTGGCTGCCTTTGTTAGCCGGAGCGAACTTAAGATTGACCTCCTTCAATCACACAAGCCATCATGTGACAAACAGATTGCCTCACACCCACGCAAAAATTCTTCTGAAGTTTTCTGGAGACTGGAGAACTCCGTTTCTGCACTTGACACCCTTCAACACGGTCATTTCTTGTATCCCTGTATCCAACCACCCATCCAGCTTTAAACCATCCATCCAGCCAATTCGAATTCGGACATCCCTCCATCCTGCATCAATCCATCCTCCCATTCATTCATCCACCGCGCTTCTATCCCTTCATATATCCCGTATCCACCCCTCCACCCGTCTCAAACCCACTCATCCACTCCAAAATCATTATCCCATCAGTCTTTGAAGATGCCCTAAATTCCTCTATCCCTGGGCCATCTCTTTGTGCGCCTTGGATGTATCCATCAATCCAACTACCCCTGTGCGGTCGTTTTAAAGTGTTAAAAGCTAATTGGAAATAGCGAAGAGGTTCCTGGAAAATCGGGAATCCGCACTCCTCACTCAACGAGGCAAAAGGTTTTAAAGTCCACTCTTCTCAGACGTTTTGCCTCAGCCTTGTTTCCCAACTGCCAAGTGGAGTTAAAAATCACTAGAAGATGAGGAAAGGCACTACCTCCCTCTCTGCCACCTCCAAAGTAAAAACCTTTTCATCTGAAAGTTTTGAAGCAGTATAAGCTCTTTTTCCGTCTTGTATGAATACCACTTTCGTTTGCTCCCAAGGGGTCAGTTTCCCAAGGAATGAATCCTCTTTTTTCACTTTACCTAGCAGAGAAGACGTGGCATATGACGAGGCCTATCGCAGTCCACACGAGATGAGCACTGTGGTAGAACATCATCAACACCTCATCATCGTGTGGTTTCAATGCCTCCTACTTACGCAACCATCAATACCGCCTGCAGTTCTTATTGTCACCGTGGTCAGTGCCCAGAAGTGGTTATAGCAACAGCAGAGGACGACATTCGATGCCCAGCGGAGACGCATCTCCACACCGGTTGCCTGCATACCCTCGATCTCATTCCATACATCCACACTTCTACTCATTTTTTGCTTTGGTTTCCTCAACTCAAGTTGGAGAACACTCTCAGCTACAAATGTTCTCCCTACTCATGTTTGGTTGTTAATAGTTACCAGGGCGTCAACTCAACTGAACAAAGGCTTTATGTGAAAATTACCGGATTGTCGTCGCTTTTCTGATAGTCTACTTCGACTAGCCAAATATCCACCAAAAACGATTCACCTGTAAATAATACCACCCAGATTCTCTATGTTGGTGCCGACGTAAGACAGACAGAGTAAAAAGGCGGCTCGTCTTACCTTAGCAACAACCAATCGCAGTGGGTCTCAGATGGGACAACCCCCCTCAAATGTTGACACCACTGCTTCTTCACACTTGAAATCAGAAATGAGCTCAAGGATATTTTCTCTGTAGGAAGGCTTGGTTATCATGTCGTGCATCCTTATCTTCGAAGCAATGGGACATCCTGTGTCCAGAGGTGATATTCAAGCGTCAGATATGGGTATACCTTCATTATGAGCATGCCAGCAAGTTTTTACTTTTACAAACATCCTGGACGACCTAGAAGGAGCCTTCAAAGTCATGTTATCCGCGTCTATTTTGTCGCTAAATTTGGCGTATGTTCGGAGAGACGTCCACGGCCTAACAGGAACACTATGGACCCAATATAAGTGGAAAATATCTTGGAGGAAAAATACAAATAGTCATAATTGATAACCTACTTGATTTATGATGGAGCCTTCAAATCCAACAGCATCGTTAAAATAAAGGGCACAAGTACCTGACATCCCTTCACATAAAACAATCGAACTGACAACCAAAATCAGACCCTAGTAACCAAATTATTATTAACACACACTCAGTCAGAGCGGAGGGAAAAGATGCCAGAATCACGAGTCGAGGAGGAGCTTAAATAGGATTAATAATAGTAGTAGTGGTTGTGATAACATTATGTATAGAGACAGCATGAAATGGAGGTTCGAAAAACACAGCCAGTCGGACTTCGGGAGAAAAGGCTCAACTGTTTGTTTGCACACGCTAAAGATGGGATGAAAGTATAAGGAGAAAAGAAAGCAAGGATCTTAAAATCCAGAACAGCAGGCTTTCTTTGGCTCTTGACTGCTGTTCTGCAATGGAATTGTTGGACGTCCACCTAATGGGAGGTTACTATCGCTATTGGCATTTGGGGACCCTACGAGCTTCGTGATCTCTGGACAAAGAGGATAAAATACCAGTCAGAATACTCAAGCAAAAGGTAATGGGGGATAACCTGACCTTCTCCTTACGCTTTAGAAGGTAGATATAAGCCTCGTCGACGTTAGTGGAATCCAGTGCGGATGTTTCGATAAAGTGGAGCTGAGCGCTTTCTGCAAAGGCCTTGGCTTCTTGAGTTGGAACAGTACGAAGGTGGCGCAAGTCGCACTTGTTTCCCACCAACATTGTCACGATGTTTCGGTCACCGTTGTCTTTCAATTCCTTCAACCAAACATGAACGTGTTCGTAGGTAGAATATTTGGCAATGTCGTAGACCAGAAGGGCTCCAACGGCACCACGGTAGTAACTAGCATTATCAAACAAAAGCTCGAGTAACAACAGCTAATTTTACAAAAAATCATAAAGTCATTTTAAAATTTCAACGCACGCTGAGGTAATGGCACGATAACGCTCCTGACCAGCAGTGTCCCAAATTTGAGCTTTAATAACCTTATTATCAATTTTGACACTCCTAAAGAAGTAAAATTAAATGTAAAAATATCACCTAGTAGCAAATTCTACACCGATTGTTGTTTTGCTTTCCAGATTAAACTCATTCCGCGTAAACCTGGAAAGAAGATTACTCTTTCCGACACCGGAGTCACCAATTAGTACAACTGAGAAGACAGTTTTGATAATGAGTAAAAAATATCAAGCATACTTTTGAAAAGGTAATCGTATTCATCGTCCTTTGAAGCCATTTACGCAAGGAAGTACCCACAAGGCGAGAATCCAACAGAGTACTCAGACAATCGCAAGTCATTTCAGCGCATTGAAAACACTAGCAAGGCGCGTAAATCTTGGATCAAAAGGAGTATAGATCTTAAAGTTTTATCAATTGCGCAGTTTTTAATAAAAAAATTTTAGTTACTGCTTTAAAACCAAGGGTGGCTAGGATTTTAACAAGGCTATAATAATGATTTCGCAAACGAGTGACATCGAAACAAGCTCAGAATGAGTTAGCGCTGTCTTATGACGAGTAGTGAAAACAGCAGCATGAATCTGCATTCGTTGCATTGATTGCCAAAAAATGAAGCCTGTGTTTGTATTATTATAGTCTTTTAAATTCTGCGCGTATCCACAGTTGCTTACATTTTAATGTAAGGCAAAGTTTTGCTTTGGAAGCCCTTAAGTTATCGCAACATTAACAAAATTAAAAAGCAATTTGTTAGCTTAAAAGGCGTTTGCTTGCAACCACGTTAGACGACACTTTCGAATTGACTTTGCACTAACCAAA